AGCAGGTGTAGAACGCTATGATCCTGGATAGCAGCATTCAGGACCCATTTCGCACTGGTGTAAATGATGACATGGTGGAGAATCAGCCCAATGCCTGATCTCAACGTATCTCCCAAAGGGGGAGACAGCTTGGAAAGGGAACGATTTCCCATGTTTCTCTTTGTGCACTGGGGGCGGGGGGTGGCAGAGAGCTTGGGGTTTCAGGTATAGGCTCCACTTGGCAGAGGGCTGGGGAAGGGGTTACCAGGCTGCCCTGGGGAGAAGAGAAGAGGGCCTGCAATGGTTGAGGATGGACTGATTCATGCTGCAGCTGTGGCTAGGAACAGGGAAAATAACAGAAAAACTGAACAGGGTTAATCTAGGATCTGTTCCCAGTAGAGGAAGGACCGAATCCTGGTCCACCACAGGCTACAAGAAACCTCTCCCTGCTCAGCCCTGACCCGCACCTCACTAAAACAGGGACCTCTTTAATCATTAGAGAAATGTCAGTCACTTCTCTTCGTTTCAGTCCTTGAAGCAAAGTCCTGGGGAGTTTCCCCCTAAGAGCTGTGTTTGTTACAGCAGCAAAGATTGGTTCCCCCGACCCACCAGTTACTCCAGGACCAGGAAGGACGGTGCATCAGCACAGGCTGCATAAGGTACGTCCCCAGATCGGCTGCACCACGATGCTGCAGGAGGACAGGGGTGCTTGCTGTGGGGGGTTGGATGCACTTGAACTACTAATGGTTTCCTTTAGCTTAGGGGCTCCCTGCATTCCCTTGGGGATCAGCTACCCCCATGCATGGGTGTTTCTCTTTGTGCTTTCCCTGCCTGGAGAGCATGGGGGCAGTGGGGGAGGGGACCAGCCCATTGTTTGATTTTTATGGATAGGCTTTTGGGGGGAACCTCTTTGGTTGAATTGTCAGTGCGATCCTACACATGGGCGTGGCCGGCAGAGGGATAAAATTGAGGGAAAGGGTTTTTTCCCCCTATTGTCTGAGTTGTTTTTTTCTTACATTTTTTTTTCACCTGGGAAAATGTGACAAAAGAAAACAATGTTAAAATTTATGAGGGAGACAAGGAGGATGAGGTGAGATCTTTCATTGGATCAACTTCTGCTGGTGAAAGAGACAAACTTTCAAGCTCCTCAGAGCTCTTCTTCAGGTCTGGGAAAGGGGCTCCATTTCATAGGTAAATGCATGGTGGAACAGATTGTTTATCGTAAGTAGTTAACATATGTTGCATGAGGTGAAGTCACCATTTAACACCTATGCAGGGAACAGACAAACATCCGTGGTTAATACGTTACAGATTAGAAGACCGGCCATACTAGGTCAGACCAATGTTCCATCTAGCCCAGTGTCCAGTCTATTGACAGTGGCCAATGCCAGGTGTGTCCGAGTGAAGGAACAGATGAGCGGAATCATCAAGTGCCCTGTCGAGCAGCCCCAGCTTCAGGCAGTCAGAGGTTTTGGAACACTCCTAACATGGGGTTGCATCCCTGACCATCTTGCTAATAGCTATCGATGGACGTATCCTCAGGGAACTTACCGAATTCTTTTTTATTCCAGTTATAGTTTTGACCTGCACAACATCCCCTGGCAACAAATTCCACAGGTTGACTGTGCCGTGTGTGACAAGGTACTTCCTTTTGTTTGTTTTAAACCTGCTGCCTATTCATTTCATTGGGTGATCCCTGGTTCTTGTGTTATGTGAAGCGGTAAATAACACTTCCTTATGCACTTTCTCCACACCGGGTGTGACTGGGGCTCCAGGGGGTCACACTGAGATTGCTCAATTAGGGCAAACTGTCAAGAATGGGGCAGACAATCCCCAAAGCTGGCAGTTATTCTCATACTTAGATCCACCAGGCTAGCCACAAAACAGCTTTTATAATACCTTATTGGTTATCCAGAAGCCAAAAACCCAGTTCCCTTAAAGCAACCCAGCCTTTGGGCTCCCACTCAGACAGCCAACTAAAATATGATGAGGATTATTGAAAATCTTATTCATCATATAAAAAATTCTACCAATCCCAGAGGATCAGCCACATTGCTTCCCAGGTCAAAGAATATTTGACCATTTACCCAAATGCACTTACCCAAATGCACGCTGACAGCCAATTCTTATTAACTGAACTGTGATTTATTTTTAAAAAAGAGAGTGTTCATTAAATTATCATTCTACAAACAGACTAGAGTAAAATTCTTAGGTCACTTTTATAGTAGAGATGGTGGGCTTTAGGCTTGGTCTACACTAAACCCCCAAATCGAACTAAGGTACGCAACTTCAGCTACGTGAATAACGTAGCTGAAGTCGACGTACCTTAGTTCGAACTTACCGCCGTCCAGACCCGGCAGGCAGGCTCCCCCATCGACTCCGCGTACTCCTCGCGGTGAGCAGGATTACCGGAGTCGACGGGGAGCACTTCTGAGTTCGATTTATCGCGTCCAGACAAGACGCGATAAATCGAACCCAGAAGTTCGATTGCCTGCCGCCGAACCAGCGCGGTAACTATAGACAAGCCCTTAGAGTTGCACAGAATTCTTTCAGAATTAACCCATAGGTTCAGTCCAATGTCTAGTATCAGGGAGATCCAGATGAGACTGGAGACGTCAGACTTGTGACTCAAACTTTCTTCTGATGAAGCTTAAGCAGATCTGAGATAAAAGGATCAGGTCCCAAAAGCCCTTTTTACATTTTCCGGGCAGCCTCTTGACAGCATGCAGACCTTGGGTGAACAATAGTGTCTTTGAAGTAACCTCCTATTTCCTAAACATCACCAGTAATTAGCTGCATGGATTAACATAAGGCAATTGCCTATCTCCCACCATTTGCAGGTGATTTGCTTTGTTTTTCAAAGAGAGATCAAGACAGTGATATCACAGCATTCACAGTTCATTTGAATGTTAATATCTCTGAATGATTGGAATACAGCAACAGACAGGAACTGTTTGGTTACATTGGTAACCTCTAACAATATATATGTAAACACACAAACACACAACCATTCTCTACTAATTTGTCTCTAAAGGTTGAATCTGGGTCAGTTAGCCTGCTAGCTGTGTAACCCTTTCTGGCCCTGTGTCACACCAGTCATGATTATAGAGACTCTATCGTATCCCCCCACGCCCTTGGTCGTCTCTTTTCTACTCTGAACAGTTCCAGTCTTAAATCTCTCCTCATATGGGAGCTGGTCCATTCTTCTAATCATGTTGGTTGCCCTTCTTTGTTCCTTTTCCAATTCTAATAGATCTTTCTAAGCTGGGGCCACCAGAACTGCTGGTAGCATTCAAGGTGGATTTATACAGCAGTATTATAATATTTTCTGTCGTATTCCCCCTCCCTTTCATTATGGTTCCTACCATTCTGTTACACTACGATCCCTTTACTTTGCTCTGGAATCACAGATGTCCTGGGATTTACTGGTGCCATGGAACAGTAAAGAGGCCTTAGTGCAACTGAACTGAGGCTGGAGAGTCTGCGATGAAGCCAGTTAGTGTGGGGTTATTATAAATGCAGTTCCAGCTTCTGGGAGCCTGGCAATGGGTGAACTGAGGCTGGAGAGTCTGCGATGAAGCCGGTTAGTGTGGGGTTATTATAAATGCAGTTCCAGCTTCTGGGAGCCTGGCAATGGGTGAATGAAGTGGAATCTGCTAGATATGGGAGCCCCGTATGAAGCTTATTATAGAGGTTAAGGGAAAGGGGAATAATATGAGTAGCACATAACTTAACCACCTCAGCTGGAACACCTGCAGCACCCTGCACAACAGCACCTTTGTCCCGACTGGTGCTTCAGTGTCTTTCTGCAATACAAACGCTGGTCAGTAATAGCAGCTCACCAGCCCCTGAGCTGTTAGGAAAGCCTGGGGCATGGAGTCAGGAGGGCTGGAGCTGGTCACTGGTTTTTCAAGTATCGGGGGGATAGCCGTGTTAGTCTGTATCTATAAAAACAACAAGGAGTCTGGTGGCACCTTAAAGACTAACAGATTTATTTGGGTATAAGCTTTCGTGGGTAAAAACCTCACTTCTTCAGATGAAGAAGTGAGGTTTTTACCCACAAAAGCTTATGCCCAAATAAATCTGTTAGTCTTTAAGGTGCCACCAGACTCCTTACTGGTTTTTCAGTGAGGTGAAAGCTGCTTTCCTGGGAGTGTGATCAAAGTGCAGTGGGAGGCAGAGAAGGGGCTCTACCTACACATTACGGGCAACGTTTCTAAATCCCAGGCAGAGGCAATGAGCCATATCAGAGCAAGCCAGTTCCCCCGCTACAGCTAAGGGCACAGCTAGCTTCCTGCTTCACCCCTAATTTGTCTAAGTGCTCTAAAACCCACCTGCTGACCTGGATTGGCTTGAAAGGTGTTGTGCAGCATCATGGTTTGGGATAGGGTGAGCAGTCCAAAGTTAGGATAATTGGAGCAAGGGGATTCTGAGATATAGCCCCCTAAATACAAATCGTATGACGTGACAGTCTTAGGGTGTGTGTGTGTGTGTGTGTGTACACATTTGAGGCTCAGACTACAGCTCCGATCTGCTCCAAACTGATCTGACCCACTCAGGACTGCTGACGCTCACTGTCCCTTTGTGGAACCAATATTTTTAAAATTTATTCAGGGTCCAAGTTGAATCTACTGTGTAGAGCCAAGGGGACAAGCCAGAGCGTTTCGCTTGTGCAGCACGACTGGGCTCTGCTGCAAGCCCGGGTGTTTGGGTAATGCTGACCGATCCTGGTCGTCGAGATCAAACTTGTTCCCTCGGGAGCTCAATGCATGAGCCTCTATTGCAGGAGCTAAAAAACACATTTTTCTTAGCCAGGGCTAGCAGACGAATAATTTCTAGCTGGTCTAGCTGCCACTAGAAGGAGACAGAAAAAAGAAAAGAAAAATAATGGAGATATCCCATCTCCTAGAACTGGAAGGGACCTTGAAAGGTCATTGAGTCCAGCCCCCTGCCTT